GGGGGGCACAGGGCCCTGTGGCACCTGTGAGTCCCCTTCTCCAAGGAAGCAGCAAGGGCCAGGGGCCGGCACCGATCCTGGCCGGCTGGGGGTTCAAAGCCCATCCGAGCCCAGGGCTGCCCTGCAAGTGCTGCAGCTGCCCCACGGGGTGCCATGGCCCTGGGCTCTCCCTGCCAATCTGGGTGTGCTCCCTGCCACGGGCTGCAGCCCCCAGCCCCAGCGCTCACAGCCAGTTGCTGGGGGGACAAGTGCCCAGGGCCAGGTCTGTCCCACCCCTCTGCACATCACCAGCAGCGGAGGGTCCGGCCAAGCATCCCACTCGGGTGCAGAGACGATGCACAGTCGGCATGCAGGTCATGCTGTGTAACCCTCCCCAGGCACCGCAGGGCTCGGTTCAGCCAGCTCACACAGCTCCTCGCCCTACTGCAGCCTTTATTGCAACTAAAGCGTCCAGCCAAGGAGGGAGAGCAAAAGAGGTGGTTTTCCTAAGCTATGATCAGGTCCCTAACTCTGCAGGGCATGTGGAAAAAGGAATTAAAAGGAACACAAAATACAAAGCAAATCAAGGCGTGGGGGAGAGGCTGGTGCAAGGGACAGCGCTTCCATGCCTGGCTGTCCAGGGGGGCTGGAGCAGGACCAGGGCATCCCTCGGGCATCCCAGGACTGGCCTTCCCCGTGGTTGTCTCCCAGATGCCAGAGAGGGAGTTCAGATTGTCTGCCAGGGTTTGCCGATGGACTGGATGTGCTCCTTGGCCTTCATCCGCAATGCAGCAATGCTTGTGTTGCGCGGGTCTGCCTCGTCCAAGGGGAACTTGTCCACATAAGTGGCCCCGCATTGGTAAGGCGGCGGTGGCCCCATGGCCCCCAGGGGCTGCAGCGCATGGGTGACAGCCGGAGAGTTCAGGAAGGGCGGTGGTGTGTAGCTGCCAGGCAGGCTCTGCGGTGAGGCCACGAAGCCAGGCAGGGTCTGCAGGGCTGTGCTGCTGGGCACGGGTGGGCTGAGCCACGTCTCCAGGGGCAGGTTGCTGCTGAGAGGACCCATGGGTGCTGCCGGTGGCGAGCGGTTGAAGGAGAGGATGGGCGAGTCCTGCAGCTTCATGGAGGTCACCTCCAGCTTC